AAGCAGAAATCTGAACTAGATGTTTTGATTAGTCTTTCGCCCCTATACCCGAGTCAGACGAACGATTTGCACATCAGTATCGCTGCGGGCCTCCACCAGAGTTTCCTCTGGCTTCGCCCCGCTCAGGCATAGTTCACCATCTTTTGGGTCCCGACACGCATGCTCCCACTCGAACCCTTCACAGAAAATCTGGGTCGGTTGGCGATGCACCCATCAGAGGGGGATCCTGCCCATCAGCTTCCTTGCGCCCACCGAGCTTCGACACGCGTCGGTTCGCACGCATGTGAGGCTCCTTAGTCCATGTTTCAAGACGGGTCAAATGGGGAGCCCACGGGCCGTTGCGACGAGCACGCCGGAGCCTAGCGGGGCTCACTTGATCGGCGCGTGCCGTGTCCGCCGACCACACCGACGGTTTCTCCGTTACGGATTTTTGGATGTCCTGCTTATGTGCATGTATGTGGAGATGAAAGATCAGTGCATGTACCTGGAGATGAAAGATCAAAACTTGATACAAAATCCAAGAAGTCACAAGAAAGGTGTGAAATGATACAAGTTTTGAGATCTGATTGCAAATATCAGCAGAGATGCAGTTTTTGATGAGCAGTTTATGTTACAGCAAAATCAATATAAGGTGTCAGAGAAGAGTTCCAGTTCAGATGCAGTGCAAATGGGTTTAGAACATCAGTGAGAGAGGTGAAAGTTCAAATTCAACACCTGGTGATTCTATTTCAGATGATCTGCAGAATTACAATCTAGGCTCTGCAGAATTATAATCTAGCCAGAGACAGATAAAGACGCACCAATGTAAGGTCTTCTAGTAGATTGGGTTATCAAGACTTAGTCTCATGTGCACTTCTCATCAGCAGCGATAATCCATCAACTTTTTAAGGAGCTATCATCAACCAGGAGAAAGAGAAATGGATGGGTGCAATGGTTCAGAAGATGAAGTCTTTACAAAAAAATCGCAATTGGGAGCTAGTTTAGCTTCCAGAGGGAAAGAACGCTATTGGGTGCAAATGGGTCTATAAAAGGAAACCAGCTGTATCAGAAAAAGAAGCAGTCAAATCCACAATTGGGAAATGACCAAAAGAAAATATATTGAGATTTTCATACATATTTTACACTATTTTTGATGATATTGCACTTTAAGGAAATATATTTTTGATTTTTTGTCGTAGGTATGATGAATTATAGTTATTGGAGCAAAAAGATGCAAAAACGGTGCAATTTGGAGCAAAAACAAGCAAGAAATGATATTTTGCCCTATCACCTTTTGATAAGTCTTTGGATGCTTAATCTCTTTTACACTTCTTGCATATTTTTGAATGAGATTACACTTTAAAGGAAGGTTGCTTTCATGCCTATTTTGTAGGGCTATCTGTTAGGAACACAACGCAACTGAAATGGGGCAAGATGGAGCTAAAACAAAGACAAATGGTGGAGCTGCGCAGTCTGCCCTCCGACGGCGCCAAAATGGCAAACGGCGCCGACAACGAGATTTACCTGAGAAGACCGAAAAATGACAGAAAAGCTCGCCGACAGCGCCCTCGAGCCTGCCGACAGCGCCCGGGACAACTATGGACTGACTTTTGGTGGTTATGGGCTGAAATTCAATGTATTTGGACCCTTTTGGAAGGGTGCTTGTGGGAACTCTTCAAACTTCGTCCCAACACTTTAAAAGAACGAATTTAGGTTAGAAAGAGGAGGATTTTTGTAGGAGGAATGTTAGGAAAAGTGTGGAGAAAGTTTAGGGTTTTTAGAATAGGAGTAGAAATGTAGATTTCTACCCTTTTGGAGAGATTGAAGAGGAGATTTGAGAGAATTTGTAAGGAGATGTTCTAACATTGCATGGATCGGTGGGAGACTTTGTGGGAGAGATATTCGTCTTTCTTTCAAATGTAAAAAGCTAAGTATTGTGTTCTTCATTATCTTTTGATTTTTGTAAACACTTATCTAGTGGATTTGCTTTGATGAAATGAAGTTTTCCGTTGTATTTTCTTCATGCTTTATGTTGTGTTTCTCTAACTCTCTCTTCTTGTTTGGAATTAATGGCATGAGAAGATTATGCCGTTGTTTTCATTTTACTTTTCTTTTGTAATGAGTAGAATTCATGTTTATGATTTTGTGATTCATGTTAGAAGCGGATTTAATTATCAATGTGATGGTTTTTACTTGCACTTTATTTACATTACAATAAAGGCCTATTGTAGTGTTAAATTCGTTGTAATTGTATTAAGACCCGAGAGGGCTGTGTAATTCTTAACAAAGTATAACCACATTCAGATTTCATGGATGGTTAAGTTCATGGGAGTTGAATACAAAAAAATAAGGAAATATACTTTGATATGCAGGTGATTTGGATGGCGGAAGGTCTACAACTAGGTTTGTGTTTACTCTTGGTAGAGGGCCTATATGGTGGAAATCAACAATTCAGTCTGTTGTGACATTATCTACAACTGAAGCAAAGTACATGGCAGTAGCTGGAGCTGCTAAAGAAGCCTTATGGCTTGTTGGGCTAGTAAAGGAACTGGACATTGAGCAAGGTGGAATTCAGTTGCATTGTGACAGTCAGAGTGCTATTTATCTGGCTAAGAACCAGGTGTACCATGCGAGAACCAAACACATTGATATCATGTATCACAAGATCAGAGAGTTGATTGCTTATGGGGAGATACTGTTGCAGAAGGTTCATACTGATGAGAATGCAGCTGATATGTTGACCAAACCAGAAACTATCAACAAGTTCTTGCATTCCTTGGACTTGTTGAATGTTTGCAGTTGCTAGAGAAGCATGGTGGCCCAACCCACAGTGGTGCAGGTGTAACTCCCAGGTATTTTTCTCCTAAGGGGCTGGATATTCGCCAAGGTGGAGATTTGTTATGGTATGACTCATATACCATATAGGGACAGACGCTGAATCGAAGCGGAGCGGAAGAATTTGTCCAAATTGGGAAGTTACGTGGGTCGGGGTGCGGGGGCAAAGCCCAGCGGTATGGTACAGGGGTAATGCTGTAATTACATATTGTGTCTAGGGTTTACTAACAGGTCTATTTTTAACCCCAGGAGGTATCTCTGAATTCTGTAACCTCCTGAATTCTGAATTCTGTAACCTCTTTTCTGAATAGTGAAAGGAACTCGCCGCTCTGCTCCCGAGGACGTAGGCATCTTTGCCGAACCTCGTTAAATCTCTGTGTTCTTCTGAATTTGTGCCGTTACTAGTTCTTCCTCGCCCTAATTTTCTCAACAGCAAGCAATCAAACATTCTATGAAAGAATGAAACATATTGCAATAGTCTGACATTGCATAAAATATGCAGCCTTGTTAAAGAAAATCACTTCTCCCCTACCAAGTGAAGAATGATTGCTTAATATATTTACTGAAGCCATGTAACCTTGTCTTTGAATCTTTGTAATAAACTAAAATTTTTTGTTCATCTATGCACCATCTTAAGGAGGAGTGTTATCATAGAAAAGTAACAAAATTTTAAGGTACTATTCTTGAAAAGTATTAAATTAGGAAATATATTCTCCTAGTGCTTAATATTTATATCCTCTTATTTGAGGTTATATGTCTCCTTATTTTTCTTCTTTTTCTACTTACCTTATGTGCCTATATATGGCACAACTTTTAATCTTTAATGCCAAGGAATCTTCTCTGATTTAAAATCCATTATATAACCTATTAAAAGCCATAGAATTTGTTTGCTGCAGTTCGTTATCTGTTTCTTAAAAAAAATAAAAAATGAATCTACATGCACCATCATAACATCTTGTTTCATCTTCTCCCCCGACCTGAATTTACCTTCCCTCGACCTTCAAAAAAATATTGAAGCATACATCTTTAATCCTCTGGCTTTTTATTCTTCAGAGAAAGTTTCTTACTCGCTGTAATGAATATGTGATGGATTTCGTTTCACAGTAGTTCCATGAAAGACAAAGCCTCATTCCTTTTGGGTTTTATAAAAGGTAACTCTATGAGCTTGTTTGGGATCAATTTATTTATTTATTTTTGATTCTTTTGCTTTTTAAAAACATATTAAGTGTTTTTATTTTATGTTTCTAAAAACAAATTAACATATTTTTGAAAATATTAAGAAAAAATTTTAGATGTTTTGAGTGTTTTTTACAACAACTATATCTTAATCAAAGATGTCAAGCATATTTTGATTCAAATGAAATATAAATAAAATAAAATAAAATAAAAACAAAAAGTAGAAAAAAAAAATCATACTAAACAGCCTGTGTCTTGTTTAACTGCGTGATTTCTAATTCCATTAAGTTTCAAGTATCGGATTTCCATAATGTGCAAGACTTTTCCCTTGAAAATCTCAATTTCTCATACAATCTGACTTGAATCCTAAATATAAAAGAGGGAAAATTGACAGAGTATAGATAAAGTCCAAGCCATAAAACATCCCAACTTTATTAACCTTAAGTTTTAGTAGTGCTAGAACGTGGATGTGAATATTACAACTGTAATTTCAGTGGATTAGAAATCTCTTGGATTTGAAGCTTTTTAACCGGATAAGATATCTTCTTGTCATTTATCTTTCATTGTTACAGAAGCTGTTTTCTTCATGACTGGATCTTGATCACAGAGCACCTTATCACTAATCTATTCTAGCGTATGCTTTAATTAAGAGAAATTTACATATCTGACACCTAAGTTTTGATATTCACATTTATAGCACCTTGGTGTTATAAACCTATGCAAAAAAATGTACATTTGACTTTTATAGAGTTAGTAAAGTGATATTCTTTATGTGATGCTAAAGATTTGAGTGTTATGAATGTAATCATTAAAGTTTAGCTGTAGATATGTAAATACATAAGATTTGTGTGGTATTTATGTAAATGCCCCCTTAACTTAAATTCATATTGTTTTTATAATTGATATTAGATTTCCTCTGCTTTCAAGATGTTTTTTTTTTTTGAAAATACTGGAAAAAATCAAACTCAAGTTCTTAAAGTGAAAAAATTGTACTTGGTAATATGATCCAGTTTGGCATCTCCCCCGAGAAAGTTGAGCAAGTCCAGCCAAACCGGCCACAACCGCCACCGCCACCGCCCCCATTGCCTCGGCCCAATAAATCGACTTCAACAGTTGATGCAGAGCGGACGAGTGATGATTTTCCCGGCACGTCTGCATAGATTCCCCAAACTATGAGAATATAATTTTATTTCTAAAACAAAACCCTGATTCAAATAGATTTTGCAGTTTCTAGCTTTCCTACCTTCTCAAAATGGCACATTTTTCAGCCTGAGATATTATTCTTGGACCATATTGCAGAGAATTTTATATAATTTTTTCTTTTTTTTTGTTGGCGATTCTTAGTATTTTAGATTGTAGATTTTGTAGCAGTGATCAATACAGGATTTTCAACTTTTTGACTGATGTATGCTAAAGTTGTTATTTACTTATTTACCCACTATGAGATATCTGAGCATACAAAAGAGAGTTATGTCTGCTTGTGTTTTTCTTGCTCCAGTTCTGGATCTAGAGTTGCAGCAATTCTCCTGTGAATTCAAGTTCTCTATAGGTGCGTTTGGGGCAGCTTGTGCTTTTCAACATAAGTTGCTTGTCCTTAAATGCAGCCCGCATGCGGGCCTCCGGGTTCGGCCCGCGACATGCGTTTAGTTTAAAAACTCAAACGCGGTTTCAGATAAGCTAACGAAACGTATGTACCAAACGGTACGGCTGCGTTTTAAAAACACCGCCCGCACTTGTAAGCTACCTCCAAACAGACCCCATATCTTCCTTTCGTTCGTTGTTTTAAATATTATTGTAGGTGCAATTGGAACATTGGCTTGCTTGGGATCACTTTTAATTTTTAATTTTTGGAATTTTTTTTTTCATGTTTTAATTTTTTTTAAAATAAATTAGATCTTACTTTAGAAACTCTCAAAACATTTAAAAATAATTAAACATATTATAGCATATCAATTATCAAATATGTTTTATTTAAGTAAAAAAACATAAATAAAATAATAAGAATAAAAATGTTAAAACAAAAATTAAAAGAAATTCTCAACGGCCTCTTTAGTATTTGAATCAGCTGCAGGTGCACCTACCCCTAGATCCATCTACCGGCAAACACGCAAAGGATTTGGATAGATTTGAAAAGGACCGGCCAAATAGTTCTAGGATTTTGAACTGAAGTTTGTTTGCTTGAGCTGATTTTGAGCCAGCAGTGGATTACCTCAAACCATACTGTAGCCTACTTAATAATAGATTAGGTTCTTTCCATTGCTTTCACATTCCTCTCTCTCTCTCTCTCTCTCTCTCTCTCTCTCTCTCTCACAGGTTACATTTAAAAAATATTAAATTAAATTACAAGGTATTTGGATTTTTGAAGATTTACAGGCGTACCACTTAATTCTTATTTATTTACATATTAAACACCTAAAATTTAATTTTTATACGTGTCAACTCACATATGCATGAAAATGTTATATTTCATTGTTAAAAAGTTGGAGGATTTACATACACACAACGCAATTCTCAAGTATTTACATATCTAACACTTTAGCTTTAATGTTTACATGTATGTTACCTTTCCTATGCTTAAGAAAAAAGATGTGTTTTACCTTTTAAAAGTTAAAATAGTGTTATTTTTTGATGTGATATGAATGTAAACAAAAATAAAATTTAGGTGTTATATATGTAAATATATAGAGTTGTGTGCTGAAAAATTTGCGATGAGAGTAATAATTTTGCATGCATCTTAGTGTTGGAGGAATATCTCATGCACAGATAAAAGAAAAATATGCAGAAGGATGCATGTTGAGTATTTACATGAAAAATCTTAGAAAGAGAAATTCTAGGGGTTTAGCCCAGTTGAAATAATCCACTATGAAATTGTAAATACATGGGTCCAATCTTTTTCTTGATTAGGCAAGATGGACTTACAAAGTTTATCATTGTAGATGTATAACAATAATTCATCGACAATAATTGTAATATGGTTGCATTTTTTTGGTGATAATGGTGATAACAGTTGCGAGGGTCGTAGTCAATTGTTGTGGAGACAGTAAACCATCATGAATGTTGTAGACGATGGCTGTAGCACCAGTTTGTCGTAAATGTCATATTTGAAAGATGTGGTAGTAGTTGACCATATAGGCCATAAGCAGTAGTTTCAGAAGCATTCGTTGGCCACAAGGACCGTAATAGAGAGTTACAATAACGTATGTAGGCCGCTGAGACCGAATTTGAGAATTACATGAGATGTGAGTCACGTAAGTTATGGTTGGTCACATAAGTTGTAATTGGTCACATAAGTAGGTAGTAGTTGGTCACACTATCTTCAAGGAGCATTGTTACACCATATTTGTGATGCATCGTTACATCATATTTGGGGTAGGTCGTAAAATCGTCTTTGGGATGCATCATTGCATCATATTTAGGATGCAACATTAAATTATTTTCAGGGTAAGTCATTACACCATCTTTAGGGTACTTCGTTACATCAAAAAATTCATCGACGTCAATGAGTAAGGGTTGACTGATGGTGGTTGACATCAGTTAGCGGCGGCGATAGTGGGAAATGTTCATTAGGACATTGATCCATAGCAACACTAAAATTTAACTCTTTCTTCTGGTCAAGTTTTAGCTCTAGATTCTCCATGTAAATAAGAAAGGAATCCGACCACTACATCGAATGACACAGATAGGTCCCCTTAGTTAGAAAATGTTTTGTGGATATTTAAATGTCTTAATGATGTTAGAATTGAGTGATCTTAGGTACGTTGGATTTGTCTCACCGAGAAATTCAATTTGGTTGTAAGCTTATTAGATTTGGAATCTGTTTGACCTTCAAATTAACCAACCAATATTTTCAAAAGTCATTCAATGACTTGATCCAGGCTTGATCATACTCAGATTGGATCAATTTTTATGTCATTTTGTTTGTATCGTCGAGCCATTAAGTTTGATTATAAGTTTGTTGAAATTAAAGATTTGTATAATTTTTAATTTGAGTTTGAGTACGATGCATAAACTAATGTATTAACGATTTTAATAGATAGACTATTTATATAATCATCCAATGTTCTACCTCCAACACTAAAAGAAGATTCTAAAGCAACTGTAGTTATAAGTATATATAATATATCTAGAGCCATAATGGAGAGATAAGGATATTTAAGTGTATTCATCTTCCACCAATCAAATACGTCAAATATATCAACATTGCACATAACTATAGAGTAATAATTTCACATCTTAATATTGAACGAAGATCAAACACACACACAGATAAAAGAGAGTATGCAAGAGGATACACATTGACTTTTTACGTGGAAAACTCTAGAAAAAAAAAATCGTTGGAACACGGCCTAGTTGAAATAATTCACTTTGTAATTGTAAGTGCATATACTCACTCTTCTTTTAGATTAGGGAAGATAAAGTTACAAAGTTAATTATTATAGATGTACAGTAGTAGTTCATGGATAATAACTATAATCTGGCTGTAGTTATTGACAATAATAACATTAGCTAGCTGCGATAGTCATTGTCAATTGTTGTGGAGGCAGTAGTCCACCATGATTGTTGTTGACGGTGGTCGTAGAGCTAGCTTGTTGTAAAGGCCATATTTGAAAGTTGCGGTAGTTGTTGACAATGTAGCCATAAGGAGTAGCTTCAGAAGCATTGATTGACCCCATCAACAGTAGTAGAGAGTTGTGATAGTGTTTGCGGGTCGTTGAGGCAAGAGTTGAGAGTTGCATTAGTTGTGAGTCGCGTAAGTGTAGTTGCTCACAGATGCTGTAGTAGAGAACTGTAATAATGTTTGTAGGCCATAGCTGCTAGAGTTGAGAGCTGCATGAGCTGTGAGCCATATAGGTCATATTTGGTACCAATGTCGTAAGGGGAGTTGTGATAATATTCGCAGATTGCAGAGGCGGAAGTTAAGAACTGCATGAGTTGTGAGCCATGTAGGTCTTAGTTGCATACATAGAGCTTAGTGGTAAGTTGTAATAACGTTCACAGGCCAAAGAGGCCGGAGTTGGGAGCTGTGTGAACTGTGAGTCATGTAGGTCATAGTTGGCTCTATAAGTCATAGTGGTAAGCTGTAATAACATTCGTAGGATGCAAAGGCTGGAGTTGGAAGTTGCATGAGCTTTGGACCATGTATGTTGTAGTTAGTCATATAGACTGTGGTGGTGAGTTGTAATAATTTTTATAGGCCGTAGAGGCTGGAGTTGAGAAATGCATGAGTTGTGACCACTTAGGTCGTAGTTGGTCACATAGACTATAGTAGTGAGTTGTAATAACGCCCGCAGATAGCGAATGTTGAAGTTGGGAGTTGTATGAGTTGTGGACTATGAAGGTCGTAGGCTACAGCAAGGGGTTGCAGTTGTAGCAAACTACATAGGTAATAGGGCGTAGTGGGGGGCTTTGAGGAGAGAAATTTGAGAGTTCGAAGAAGGTCATTGCACTATGAATATGACATTTGCAAGTAGTTATTACAAAAAGTTACAACATACCCATTCGTTGTTACACTGTTTTTTAGGTGTGTCATTACATGATCTTAAGGTCTGCATTGTTACAATGTATTTGGTGTACATTATTAAACCATTTTTGGGGTGGCTCGTAACACCGTCTTCGGGATGCATCATTCACCATATTTAGAGTACAACATTAAACTATCTTTGGGGTGCACATTACGCCATCTTCGGGGTGTATGGTTACATTAGAGGATTCATCGATGTTAGCGAGCAATGGTTGATCGATGGTGATCAACAATATTTGACGGCTACGAGAGCAGAAGGTGTTCGTTAGGACTTTGATTCATAACAACACTGAAATTTGACTCCTCTCGGTCAAGCTCTAACTCCAAATCTTTCTTGTAAATAAGAAATGAATCCAACCACTCCATCAGACAACCCAAAGATGTTTCCTCGATTAGAACGTTTTGTGGATATTTGAATGTCTTATTGATGTTAAAATTTAGTGATGTTGAGCTTGTTGGATTCATCTAATCGAGACACTTGATTTGCTTGTAAAGTTATTGGATTTGAAGTATGTTTGACCTTCCAATTAATTAGCTAAAATTTTCAATAGTGGTTTAACGACTTGGTTAGGGCTTGATCTAGCTTGGATTAGATCAATTTTGATGTCATTGTGTTCATGTCATTTAACGAGTTAGTTTGGTTATAAGTTTGTTGAAATTGGAGTTCCGGAGGATTTTTAATTTGAGTTTGACTATTTTTTCTTCAAAAAATATTCTGAGTTTCATATTAATTATCTCAAGATTCATGTCAAATGACAAGATTTATTAATTACAAGCCATATGAAATGCCCCAAAGTTAAAATAACTCCTTCCAATCATTTTTATGTAAGGGTGTAAACGAACCAAACATGAACGAATAGAGCTTGTGTTCGTATTTGGTTCGTTTGAAATTAAGTGTATTTGAAATAGCTCGTGTTTGAAATTGTTCATGAAGTTATTATTCGTGTTTAGTTTGATTTGTTTGAAATGAATTCAAAATGGTCGAAATATTTGAAATATTCTAATTGTTCGAATTATTCGAGTTATTTAAAGTTTTCGAAATTTTTCAAAATTGTTTGTATTGTTTGAATTGTCTTCTATATTTATGATAATAAATTTAATTATTAATTCTCAAATTACAAAAAAAAAAAAACACCCCTTTATTAAAAAAAATATTATTTCTTCAACTATATTATTACAAACTATTAAGAACATGTTACAAATAAAATATACATTTAAAGTTTCAAACTCAAATTTTTAAAAAATTATAAATCATTATTATAATTTATAAGATTTAATTTTTTTAAAATATGATAATTTTTTAGAGTGTATAATTATTTTTAAAATATAATAATTTTATATATATAATTTTTTTAATTATTTTATATTTCAAACAATGAAGATTACAAGATTGAACATATGATTGCTCGTGTTTGGTTAATTTACAAACAAAATAAAAAAAAAATAATTGTTCATGTTCGTCTCATTTACTTATCGAACTAATCAAACACAAACTCTTTGGCGAGCCAAATAAAAACTATTCACGAACAACTGGTTTTTTTTCGAGAGCCCTAGTACTATGTATTAATATTTCTTCTATAATAAATAAGTAAATTTAAAATCATGAAATTAAAATAAAATTAAATGCAAACCGATTAAAATTCTAACTCTTCCGTGCAGATGGGCCCAGCCCAACGATGTCAATTTCAGCAGCTTTACTTCCCTTAATCAAATTCTACCTGCGAGTTGCGACCGAAGCGGCCATTACTTTCATGCTCCTATCACGGCTCTCCCTCCCCCACCTCAAACGACTCTCGAACGACAGGGAAACCTTCGAAAGCGATGGACGACTGAGATCTTCGGTAGTCCTTTTCTCTACGCATGTTCTTCTCCATTGTCGTCAACACTGACCAAATCGACGCCATGGATTAAGTAAGCGCCCTTTCACCTTTGTTTCTTTCATCCGTTCAAATACCATATTCGTGGCCCGGGTTTCTTCCATTTTTCCTGCTTCTATTGAGAGGAGAGGGCGAACTATGGCTGCGTGTTTTAGGGTTTGCCTTCAGTCGACGCTGAAAATGTTGAATTCGGTTATGGGGTTGTTAGGGATGGCCGTGATTATGTACTCTCTATGGATGATTCGATCTTGTCTCCGGCAATTATGCGAGTTTTCTCGGAACTTCTCTGAATCCAGCTCCAGCCCTTCATGGTTTGCTCCCCTGTTTTATTATTATTATTATTATTTTCATTTATTAGGGTTGTCTCTGTCTTTAATACTCCTAGTTTCTGTAGTTTTCTCTTAATTTACTAATCATTACCTTTCAGTAATTAGTTTTATAACCCTTGCTAAACAGTTAATTTTGATGAATGTATCCTACTTGAGATTTATGATTTTACTTGTGATTTGTGAAAGAATTGAACCATGAAGTAAAATAGTTTCACATTGTTGAATCCTGTCATGGGGAGGATTTGCTGAATCCAATACTGAGCCCAGATCCAACACTTAAATTCTTAAATCACATAAAAAAGTTTCACTAATATTAATTTATTTACATTTAAACACACATTTGCATGCATATGTTTTGATGTGATTTAGATTCTAAAATAGTATATAAGTAAATATTATAATTTTGGTGTTAGTATGTAAACACATAAGAATTTTTTGATATGTATGTAAATTTTCCTAAATTTAAAAATTGTTGATTGAGATTGGAAGACATTAATCTGTTTGAATTACTGGCCTCCAACGCAAGAATTGCATAAAAATTACTCTAATCATAAAAAGAAGCTTGAAATAAATTGTGCCAAATAAAAATTTTGCCTGATTTTATCACCGATTTTGTATTTAATTCCTAAAAAATCACTTTAATTTTATGAATGATGACAGATGCTTGTCATTAGCCCCTATTAACTTGTCAACTAAAATGAGAATTGAGAAATGCCTTAAAATATATATATATATATATATGAAGCCCCCTAATTAAGTTTAAAATTGCATAGACACAATGGAAATTTGGAGGAATTTTGGCATTATTTGATTTTCGACTTTTTATTACTTATCGTGTTTAAAGTATTTTACTTTATTTCTCCATGTATGCTGATGCAGTCATATATTACAAGTGAAATACTATGTTAGTAGTTTCAAGGGGCATTTACATACATACCACATAATTCTTACGTATTTACATATCTAACAACTAAACTTTCATATTTACATGCATTTTCATATTTACATGCATACTTTCATATTTACATGCATATCACTCAAATCTTTAATATCACATAAAAAACAGCACTTTTTCATGCATAGGTTTATGACACTAAAGTGTTACAAATGTAAATAATACATTAGAATTGTGTGGTATGTATGTAAATTTCCCTGGTTTCAAATGTGCTAATTTCTTCTGGGAAATAATTGATTGCTATTATGCAGGTTTGTTTTCACTTTCCTTGGATTAGGAATCTTCTTGTGTGTGCTAACTTGCTCAGGACACATAGCTGCTGAAACCATTAACAGCCATTGCCTTTCTTGTGTATCCTTTACATAGAATTTATACCAACTCTACTTGTGTTTAGTTCTTTACATAGAATTTAACAGCCACTGCCTTTCTTGGGTGCCCTTTACATAGAATTTATACCAACTCTACTTGTGTTTAGTTTTCTAAACTTGCTCTAATCACATCTAAACAATAAATACTTAATAATAATGTAATAATTTTAATACTTTAATTTCATAAATTTTTAATAATTTATCATAAAGATTATAGTTATCTCATTAATTTTAATAGTGTTAGAAAATATTTTCTTAAATACTTTATATACATCACCTAAAATTTAGACAAAGATTTTATCTCTATTCTCATACAAAATTTATAAAATAATATGAGATAAAATTTGGAATACCAAAAATTTTTTAATATAGTTAAATGAAGCTTGAGATGTATCAAGATAAAAATAAATGTTAATTATATTAAGATTTATTAATAAAGATGGATTTATGAAGAAAAGATTCTTTAATTGAATTATATTATGGATTTATTAAGGAAAGATTATTTCATTTAATTATAGTACGCAGATATGTTGCAGAATGGAAGATCATTTTCATTTCCAAAATATGATTTTTTTTTCCTGACATGATTAAACTGTTTTGTGAACCTTATTGGATACATAGTATTCTGTGTTCCTCTTCTTTCTGCTTGTTCTAGAGGCCTCAATCACTGCAGATGTATTTCTGAACAAAAACTGGGAAGAGGTTTGCATCATCAATTTCTTTCTTTTTAGGAGCATTTTCATACATGACACCAATTCTTATGTATTTGCATATCTAACACCTAAACTTCGATTTTTACATTTATACCAGCAAATCTTTCATATCACATAAAAAATATTACCATGTTAACTATATTAAAAGTGAAATACACTCTTCATGTAGAGATAAAGTGCATTTATGTGTAAAAATTGAAAAATACATAAGAATTGAGTGTATGCATGTAAATCTTCATTCTTTTTATTATGATTATTTTCATTCTTATCAGGCTTTTCCGCATGATCGAACTGGTAGTTTCAATCGGTTTAAAGAATTTGTCGGGTCGAATTCTGGATTGTGTAAATGGATTGGCCTTCTGGTTTTGGCTGTCCAGGTAAATTTTTAGCTTAATTTTTATTTTAAAGAGCTTACTGTTCTGATTTACTAACATTGAAGAATGTCATCTTTGTTTCAAAGGTATTGTCCATCTTCACCGCAATGGTTCTCAGGGCTTTAGGACCAGAACATAGGCTGCTTGAGGAGAGTGATGATGATGATGATGTTTCTTTGCCTGCAATGCTTCCTCTCTTGAAAAACCAGACTCATATTATGGCTGATCGAAAATTCCCAGGGAGCAATGCCTCTTGGATCATTCGGATTCCTGATGTGGTTAGTCCTTTTTTGTCTTATTCTTCTTATATTACATCCGGAGTTCCGATGCAAAACTATATCAGGACTCCAATCACAATGTACCAGGTGAATAGTCCGACTCCACTGAATACAAAAAATTAAATAGTTTAATAATGCATGGCGGGGCCAGACTGTACACGTGACGCATTGTGATTGGAGTCTTGAAACGGTTCTGCATCAGTACTCCTGATGTAATATTTTTTCCAATGGTGGAGCTGAAATTTCTTAAAATGGGGGCACAAACTTTTTTTTTTTTTAATATTCTCGGTTTTTTTCATTCCTATTTGAGACCGGCAATAGCAATTTAATATTTTTTAGAAATTATTAATATAATAAAAAATATATAATTCATAACATTTGCTTGTTAATGTCAGACTATTTTTTAATTTTAAAATATTAAAATAAATAACCATACTTAAATAATCCGAATATTCAAAGAAAAATTTTATACAATGAGATCATGAATTAATAGAAGTACAAAATAAAGGGGGCATTTACTAATATGGCACACAGTTCTTATGTATTTATGTCTCACACCTAATTTTTCTATATTTACATACATAACACTCAAATCTTTAATATAACATTAAAAATATCATTGTTATTATTTTTTAAAAGTGAAATACACATTTTGATGCATAAGTTTAAGGCACAAAAGTAATATGTATGTAAATATGATGTTACTAATAAGTTGATGTATAAATTTTTATTCAAATTAATATTTTTCAAACATAATTTTCATTAGTCTTGAAAATGATTTCAGTTAAGAATAGTTTTTTTTTGACACACAATCTACGAATTTAGTAATTTGGGACGAGCTGAGAGGAAGAATAATGTGAACATGTTAGGATTAGAAAGATGGGAGTTTCAGTGGTCTCTATAAGCCGTGATCTCGCCATTTTCTTCCCAGCTAGATCTAATTGATTGATTGTGAAGGTTCATTCAGGAAGACGATCGTTTTGGGCGAAACCAATAGGGGACAAGGAGAGGGGTAGGATGTTGGAGAGGGGGGTTTTAGGCAAAAAGAGGGGAATAGGGAGATAGGTTTGTAGTTTTAATTTATATTTATCTAACTTAATTTTATTATTTTAATTGATTAATAATTAATAAAAAAATTATATTTTATCAAATTAATTAAAATTAAATAAATGTATATGTAGTTATTTAAATATTAATTAAAAATTAAAAATATATTATAAATCTTAAAGTTTTTAGTAAAATTATAAATAATTTTAAATTAATATAATTAATAATTTTAATTAATTTAATACCCCCTTTTTACACATTTTTGAAATTATGGTTCCCCCATTTCATACCAAAATTTTTCTTATATATTTTCTAGTTTTTTTTTTTCTTGCATCTTATTAAATTCTCTTTTATTTCTGATTTGCCCTTCTTTGCCAACAGATTTGTAGATGATAGATATTATTAAATCAAGCTTTCAGGATGCAGCGAGCTGCTATTTTAATCAGTTTGGCTCTTCTGCACCCCCAGCTGACACACACCTTCTATTTCTAAATAGGTAAGGGAGGATTATCATATGCAAAACACAATGGTTGTTATAGGTTTTCTTCAATTCATTAGGGGTAATTTGCAATTTTACTGTTAATGAAGCCTTGCCTTGATTTGCATTTACATATCAGACACCTAAATTTTAATATTTACATTTGTAACACTCAAAACATTTAACATGCATTAAAACTACTGTCTCAACGCCGCGATGATATAAATGTAAATATTAAACTTTGGTGTTAGATATATAATTACATAATGATTGTGGTACGTTTGTAATTATTCCTTAAAAGTTAAAAGTGTGTATTTTCTTTTTATATAGGCACTAATTAAATGCTTTATTGTCAACTGAGATATCCTACATCTATATAAAATAACTTAATTTAAAAATGTTTATAATTACAAGCAAGCATAATTTATTTGCTTATTTAAAAAAGATCAATAAATCTAAATAAACATATTTTTAGATATGTATCTTAGTTGACCCGAACAAAAGCATTTCTACGGCAAAATAAAGAAGAATTCCATACATGACAATTGACACCCAAAGCATGACCATTTACGAAATGACCAACCATCATTTTTTTTTAAAGTGTAAAAACCATGTATTTGTTTTCTATGATTAATCAATTAAAATTTAATTAAAAAAGTAATAATAATCATGGGGCCAAAATTTTTTTACAAATTTCAATATTGAGTTATAATTTGGAAAAATTATAGAGTAGTCATTTTATAAATGAAATATCATGTCACCTCCCAAAAGCTCTTTTGGGAGGTGACAGGTGGTGCCAGCTGTGTGGACTATCTATGGTCTAGTGGAACCCTCGACGAAATCGATCCGTGATGAGGATGTCACATGATTTGGTAGAAGAGGATGTCACGGACAAAAAATCCCACATCAACTAGATATAGAACCGAAAAGCAGTATCTAAATCCTGGGCTGCCCACCACCCCTAAGAGTTCTTTTGAGAGATGACAAATAGTATCAGAGCGATGCATTTTTATGTTAATTGAAAAAAGAAAATATACATTCATGCCACACTTTATATTAAATATTTACATTTCTAGCACAAAATTTGATATTTACATTCATCACACTATACTGTCATGAATACATGACATGGCGCATCACATTTTAAGTTGGTAGTAGTTATATTTTTTATGATATTAAAGAGTGTCGTGTATATAAATATAAAAGTTTGGCTGTCAGATCTGTAAATTGTAAATACATAAGAATTATATGGTATATATGTAATATAAAAGTTTTGCTGTCAGATCTGTACATTGTAAATACATAAGAATTATATGGTATATATGTAAAAATGCCCGTAAGCCCAAAGGCAAGATGTCTGAGCTTTAAATAACTCCAAACCAGCAGAAACCTTACTCTCATCCTATGTTAATGAATCTAACATTCCGTCAGAACTCAAGAAAAGTTTAAAAAAACACAAACTCAAATAACTGTACAGTCAATTTACAAAAAACGGAGTCCAGTCCACAATTTTAGGAATAAAAAGCTGAGACAGATTTCAAATTTGGAAAGCTTCTCAGATTTAGAGAGAGAAATCAAGGAAACGCCATTAATTCATTCAGCTGGCAAGCAAAAGCTGGCTCTAGCTGGAAGAACTCAACGGCAGAAGAGCCAATGGAATCGAATGGGATAAAATACAGTGCAAATTGTTTTATTTTACATGAGAATCATATGACTCGAAGACAGATTCTGGGATGATGACAGGAAGCTTCTCTATATACATGATGAGCCGCTGCAGATTTTCTTTGTATACAGTTTCCATGTCTACTATATCTCTGCTGTCTGTGAAGATCCATAGGTCGCCACAGCTAACTCCCTTAAGGCTGTCACGGCAAAAAGGGCAGGACTGCGATCTTGAATGCCTGCAACGGGAGATTTTTCAAAAAAATAAAAAAATTACAGTTTGAATCGTTTTAGAAGTAAAAAAAAAAGAGTAAAACTCTGATCTTTCTACCTATTGACTGGTAAGGGATTATTGATGAAAGGCTGTAAAATTTACCTAATTAACAATAAACTTATTGTTAAAAAGCATAAGCCAGCTAGCTAAACCATAGAAGTTCTTATGTATTTACATTTCTCACAACTAAAGTTTGATATTTACTTATAAAATCATCCAAATTTTTGTATCACATCGATATAGCACCATTAGTATCTTTTCTGAAGAGAAATACATGTTTCTATGCAAATGTTTTCATCTGAGTAAGACTCTAAAATGTTTACAAATAAATGTCAAAGTTTAGGTGTTCCATATTGTGGGAACCGAAAATTCTGAAAGCTCCTCAGGACTTTGTTATTTTTGTGTTTGCATTGTTGTGTGTTGAGAGAATGTTGGAGGGTCAAATCTTTAGAAAGCAAATTGAATCGTAGAAAAGACACTATCGAGAAATAATCACCTCCATTTTTTTAGGACTTTTAATATGGGGGTTCGGGGTTTTCCATGGGACAAGCTCCTATGATTGTTAATTATCTATCTCTTCCGATAATAGAACACTTTCGATTAGGGTTAGGGTTAGTCATTTGAATTTGAATATTTAACATATAATAGCAGCATGCATATATATATATATATATATATATATATTAAATTGTAAAATCTATAATTTGGAGCTTAATGCAAACAAAGAGTGCAATGAAGATTAAGATCCCATATATATCTGAACTCCATAGGGTCAAGGCTACTTTTTCAAGAATACTTGCATAAAGACCTTGCTCTTCACACCATAAGGCTAGATTCGTCCAAGGGTTTATCATCTGATGCTCACAAGAACTTGACTTATGACATCGCATATCTTAAGCAAGCTTTCCCCTATTAAGTGAAGGGTACACATTTTAAAATTGAAGCTCATCAGAATAAAGTTTTTCAGAATATCACAAAAACTCCAGATTTATGTTAAATATTAACTGAGCAATAAAATCAGTCATATATCATCATATTGATAGTTTAATTAGATTGATTTTTACATTGTTAATTTCGATGGCAACAACTAAAAGCATATTTTTAACCATAAAGATTGTCAAGAGAAAGTTAAGAAATAAAATGAAAGATGATTTTCTTGAGAGTTCATTAACAACATATATCAAAAGAATATTGTAATAAGTTAAGATATATAATAAATGATTAATGATTTTGATGTCATGAGTAAGTGTCAAACAATTCAAGATGTCTATTCATAACAACCAAATTAGAAAAGAATTTTTTTTACTTTACAAGTTTTTACTCGATAATTTTTTTCATTTCATTTTATTTACTTCTTTTATTGTTTAGCTTTTAAAATAAAAAATTTTAATTGTGATGCATTGTAGTTGATTTTTAATTTCACCTCCCCTCTCCTTAAATTATGTTTCTAAACCTCCTTATATAGAGAAATTATTGCATACCGAGTACGCACGCAACTCTGCATACGTAATCCCCAATAATCTCCCAATAACTGATAATAACCCTATGAATAACATCGAAATAGAACCGCGGAGATTATTGGAGGGTTATCATGGGGTTATTTCGGCATTATTTGAGTTAATGCCCCAATAACCTCACAAAACCCCGAATAACAAATAAAAATATGAAAGTAAAACAACGGAGGTTAATGGGTCGCTATTAGGGGGGTTATTGCGAGGTTTTTGGAATTAATGTCGTATTAACCTTCCAATAACCTCCCAATAACCCCGAAATACGGAACCTCCGACTCAGAATAACAAATAAAAAAATATGAAAGTAGAACCGCGGAGATTAATGGGGCGTTATTAGGAGGTTTTTAAGAAAATTATTGGAAATTTAATGCCGCAATAACCTTTCAATAACCTCCCAATAACCCCGAAATACGGAATCGTGGATGTTCTCCAATGGTTAATAGGAGAGAGTAAGCTCTGTGTGCGTACTCCGTATGCAATAATTTCTCCCTTACATGACAGCATGAAATGCAAAAAATCTATATCTTGGAATTAAATATAAACTATATGGGGCACAGACTGCAGAATAGATCATCGATTTTAAATATTTAATGTTAAACATAGGCTATTTAGTTATGCATGAATTGTTGTCAAGTTTCCATGATTAAGTAGGCCTTAGTTACTTTTGAACACACAAATGGAACTTAGATTTGAACTACGGTCAAGGAGTTTGAACTCAATGAGGGGAATAAATAAATTTAAACTTGCCAAGAGCCCATGAAATTTTGTGCTACAAATATGGTCAAGTATCAAGTACGGTTTGGATTCACTAAAAAGTGTCAAGCAGATTTGAAGTTGAATTGACCGAGGTGAGTTTCTAATAAAGGATGATAGCGAGACCAAGCGGAGCAAACATGACAACCCAAACTCTCACCCATCACGGTATTGTTTGTCTGCTTTGGCTTAATGACACTCACATTTTTTCCCCAGTTAGCGTAACTTCGCAGGGTGTCACCCATCCCAGGAGTGATCCCATGTGAATTCGCTTACTTAGGAGTTTCTAATAAAATTCCACCATTATACCAAAAGACGTCTCAATGTTTAAGAGTTCAACTTCATTCTACTTAAGAGGTTTCACAATCCCCCCACTTAATATATGACGTCCTCGTCGGTGCTTTATACCTAGCATCATCCATCAGGTAGATAGGACTCTAGAAGTGGCTCCCATGACATAACACTTTGTTCTATAAGACATCTAGCTCCCATCTTCCGACTGGTGTAATGTTGATATCATTTGTGATAGCTCGAACTCTCACCCATCAAAGTATCGTTCGTTTTGGCCTACTGGCCTCACAATTTTGCCCCGTTGGTGTAACTTCTTAGGAGGCCATCCATCTCAGGAGTGCTCCAATGTGAGCTCACTTAACTTTGGAGTTTGTTACACTGAAGACGCCTCAATGTTTAAGAGTTCAGCTTCATTCTACCCAAGTGGTTTCACAACCAAATGGTCCAAAAACATTTGTTTCTTGGGTAGAGAAAATGACAAAGGCCTAAGTTATCTAACTTTGTCAAGGATTGGTTTATTGACCCCATGTAAGTAGATTCCAAGCAAACATGTCTCAAGATTAGAGGCCAAAAGAGTTATTCTCTTGACAAAGTTAAATTGTTGGGATCAAGAGGGTGGCTGAGTAGGCCGGGTTGTACAAGCAGGTCAGTTATAAGGCCCAAAGATTTTGTTGATAATTTGAAATGAAGAAGAAATATTCCCTCTTCCTCATCATGCAATGGAGTTCATAATGTCTATACCTCAAGTAACCATATTCATAGATCTTCTTTCAAGAGCTAGTGCTTATTAATAATTTGTTTAATGGAGAGTTCATCCAGTTTGGCTATAAGCTAATATATGTCAATATATCTTCAAAGAATTATTTGAATGTTTCAAGGGAATCTACAACAGGAAAATTCTATTGTTCTACCATCAATGTAGTTATTCTCCTCTAATCTCTCTATAAAAGGATGATGTTCAATTTTCTCCTTTAAGTCAAGTAGATATATATCCTACGTCACTTCTTCCATATGATGGATTTCATTATCTCAATAATATTGAAGAAATCATTTAATTTTTCTTCCAACAACATCCAAACCGTCCAATGTTGAGTTATTTCCTCCCTAAGAAAGTTAATGGCATATTATTAAAGATTATACTTTATAAATCATTTCACGGTGTTCACAACCAAAATAATACCGTTTTTTCATTGTTATCCAAAATGTCATCAAACTTGAACTAGAGTCACTATTTAACATATACAAAATTTAGTAATAAATGTGTGATCAAAGACTACATTATTAAGAGGTTTCCTACAATGAATACTTGTCCAATATGGCCAATCCATCATTGATTTTTTTTAAAATGTTAAATACTTTCATGATTTTTTTTAAATGTTCATTACTTTTAACAGCCCTTTTATAAATAGAGATAGTGGTGAGTTTTCATGTCAATTATAGGCAAAACAACCTTTGAATCCCTCCCTTGTCCTAAGGTAACGACCAATACTCTCTCTCTCTCCTCCCCTTGATTGAGCTTTACTTCTCTCTATTGAGTAATTTAGAAAAATACCTCAACTATTTCGTAAGCAAAGTGAGGCAGGACACCCTAATGGTTAGTAAGCATCAAGTTTCACAAAATTTTGCATGAAGATACCACAAGCTTTCACATTCGCATTATCTCTAACTCTCCATATGGCAAATCAAAGGAGGATTTCATTTCTCCCAATCTACCGCTTGCACATTCTTGTCTCACCTTGTCATCCCACCCACCCCCTCTAGCACTCAGACTTTTCTCTCTTACCTATAAAACTTGAAATTAATTTGAGTGAAAAGAAGCATTCCATCAAAATGAAGAAATCAAGAAAGAAAGAAAGAATGAAGAATACATTAAATGAAGAGGAGATCATAGAGCTTTAACCAAAAAATAATATTACTGCAAAGGTTTAGAAAATTTCTAAAGTTACTTGTCATCTAATTATTTTACTAACTTTCATTACATCTCAATCACATAACACTCTTGAACTATGCCAATTCCCTCACTATTTCCATTAGCCTAATGCACAAAGGGAACATTATTGCCTTTCCTATTGTAGAAATTTGTCATCAATCCTACACAGCAAGAAAACTTGGCCAATTTTTCAATTTCATCAAAGTGTTAAATATCGAAGCTAGACACAGATCTTTAATCCCTAAAACATAAACCCCCTTAGCATCTAGGATTGAAGAGGGGGCTAACAAAAAACTGATTCATTCATCCCTAATCTTCACCAAACATCCAATTTTCCTTAATTATATTTATACAAGATACATTTTTACACTGGTCTGATGTTGTTTAAAAAAGAAATGTAGCCATCTAACCTGCGAAAATTCTATAAAAAGAACCATCATGGCTGAATTCTCATCAAGTAATCGTAAGCTCTGATTAAATTAATCAACTGCATGATGATTATCCGCCACAGAAAAATGACAATTCTCGTCTTCCTTATTTTTTCTATAAACAAGGCATTAACTTTTATTTAAATTTAGGACTGGTAGTTGGTAGTGTTTGGGCACCTATAAATAAATCTCTTCTACAATTTAAAGCAAGTTAATAAATTCTTCTCTAATATTTCTTGTCACCTATTATAACATAGTACAAGAGACACTGCACTAAGTCGTTAAACATTTTGATGCCTCGCTTGCAAAGTCTATTTCCTGACTAAGACAAAAGTCTGCCAAAACCGTTCATCACCAAGCCTCGAAACTCGCTGTCACTATCCATTTCAAATCTGACATGACCCATATCTCTTAACCATAATTATGGTTAAACACGAATTGGCCTAAAAAACGACTTTCTAAATGAATATCTTGAAAAATACATGCATATGAATATTCCGCCCAGGTTCAAAACTACTTGAAACAAAGATAAGGACTGAAAAATTTGATAAATCTTTATATGAACTAAAACAATCTCCATAAGTCCGGTTCAAGAGATTCACTACTAAATGATAAAAAAGATACGGGTACTCCCAAAAGCAAGCTAATCATACATTATTTGTCCAGAAATCACTCATTGATCAAATAATTATCCCAATTATCCATGTTGATGACATTTTTTATAATTGGCAATGAAGAAAAAGAATCAAGCAACCAGAGGTGATCTTAGCCAACGAATTTTAATTTAAACATATAGGGGCCCTAAAATAATTCCCGGATATGAAAATTGCAAAATCAATGAAAAGGTATATATCTCTCAGCAAAAATATGCACTTGATCTTCTAAAAGAAACTTGGATGATATGAGGCAAACCCACAAATAAGCATATAGAACATATCAATAAAATATGATAAAATGATGACACTTTCCAAGTTGACAAAGAATGGTACCAATATATGGTTGAAACATTATCAACGCAGTTAGTCAATTTATAACATTCCCACTAAGGAACCCATCGTTGCAATCAAGCGGATACTTATTTACCTTAAAAAAGGCTCCTAAGAAAGTTTTATTTTCAAAAAAATAAAAAATATTAAAGTACAATTTTTTTATTGATTTGATTAGGTTGGGCCCATAAATTACAAAAAATCCACCTCTAGTAACCTTAACACCAATAGAAATAAAAAGTACATGATGTTTACTAGAAGTAGCATTGAAGCAATATTTAAAGCCCTGGCTAATAGAATTGTGAAGGGATGTGGCTTACAAGATTGTTGGAAGACCTAAGGATCCACATTAACAAATCAATGGTTATGATATGTGATACCAAGTTGCAAACAACACTACCAAAAATCTAGTCCGCTATGATGAAACTAAGCATGCAGAGATCAACAAACATTTTATAAGAAAATAAAAAAAATAAATAAATCATTCAAAAACAGTACAATCCAACAAGACTCCAAATTGCAAACATCCTGACCAAGCTCTTGATTAATCAAAATTCAATGACCTAACTTCCAAGGTAAGAATGATAAATAAATTTTCCAAGCTTGAAAAGAGTATAGAAATCAATAAAAAGCACCAACGTGGCTAGATTCTCATCAAGCAACCCCTGCTCTTATTAAATCAACAACAAGCTGATTATCTACCTCAGAAATCCGTCAGTCTCATTCTGTTCCTCATTAATTATGTACTAATTTTTTCTTAAACTTAGAACTAGTAATTAGTAGCATTCAAAACTTATAACTATGTGTCTATTCTATAGTTTGAAGGAGGTTATCGAGTTCTTCTCTCATATTTCTTGTGTCCAAATAAAGCCTTATAAAGTTTGGACAACTAGATAGTTCCAATTTGCACATCTTAAAGACTTATGAAGACATTTTATAAGTTCCTACTAAAAAAAATACAAGCTAGAGCTAACAGGACATGCAATAGCACTGACATTAACAGAAATAGAAGAATTCATAAAGTTATCCTCACAGAGTTAAGATGAGACAAATCATGAAGGTGATTGTCATAAAAACATGTTTTCCATTTAATGAACACAATACGGTGACATAAAAATTGAACTTTTTTTGTTCTCAAGTTCTTCAAATAACGAGAATCATACCATTTGCGGTAGCACTTCATGCACATGCAATGGTTGCAGTTGGGCAAAACAATCTTGCTGTTTAATTCCATGCAGATCCCGCATTCTTCCTCTCTCTCAGCATCGACTTCAGAGATATGCATCAAGTCAACATCATCTCTTCTCTTGTACCTTTCCAGACATATTGCTTTTTGTTTTTTATCCTCCATATCAGTTATCCCCATATGTAATTGCATCAAAGATGGGAAAATAACAGCTGCCCAAAATGCAATAAGGTGAAGTGTTAAATATTATGAAAGCAGAGAACTGGATTATAAAGCAGCAGAATTCAATCTAACTACAAGCATAATGAATTACCATAAAACTCCTTAATGCTTGCCTTCTTTTCATGAGTTAACATTGTTGTCGTTCCATCAATATAAACCTTAAAAAAAAAAAAAGAAGATGTTAGTGGAAAAGAAAAGAAAATCCAGCATTAAAAAAACAATACAATCAATGTAGCACATATAACCATATCTTTATAAGAACCAAACCTTGTATATCAAAATCCTGAGAAGACCCAGCGAACCTGCAAGGCTGCAGTCCATCCATTGCACTAAAAAGAGAAATAAAGGGGCTGCAGAACTATAAGACATACGCATTTGAAGGCATGCACCATCTTTCCGAAATTCTGATGCCCTAAATATCCAATAAATGATATGAATCAGCACCCAGAAATCAAAAACATCCATGGGACTCTTTTCTTTCGAAGTTGGCATCAAAAGTAAGGGCATTTATATCAATACCACCCACTTCCTATATATTTATATATATATATATATATATAATACCTAAATTTTATTTTTTACATTTATAACAACCAAATTTTTTGTTGAGAGTTGTGTGTAATAAGAGAGTTTTATCATGTTTATTTGCAAAATATTATAACTAGTATTTAAACACATGCTGAATGAAATGCCTAATTTTGGGTTTTTTTACTTTCAATTTGGTATTAGATTCAACCCAAGCCGCCCACATCCATTGCATCCCTCCGCTCCCTACGTGCATCGATCGATCTTCCCAAAACCCGACCCTCCCATTTTTCAGGACACGTCGCTCACCTCGCCTGCTTCTACCCACGACGACTTGTGTGACACCCTGTTTTATGTGGGAGACGCGTCCCGCGTTCCAGCGTGCGGGAGAGCAGCAGTGTCCACTGCCAGACAACGCCCTCCAGGCCGCCGCGGCCGTTCATTAGGCCACCGCCACCACACCTGCTGCAATCGAGCTGCTGTACAAAGAAGATCCCGATCTTGAGGATGAGATAGATCAAAATCGGGTCTAAAGGAGGAAGAGCATTGTTCGTGGTTCGTATGACCTAGAAGAGAGTCCAGGTGATCAAAGAAGACAGTAAATGGAGATAGTGTGGGGAGTAAAGGAATGAGAATGATTGATCCAGAGGACTTGAAGATCCTTGTAAGGCTCATACAGGGAGCTAAGGCATTGACAAGAACCGCGACTTCAACGCAGGCTTCGACGAAAGTGAAGCTAGATCTCCCTCCCGTGGATCTGAAACTTGATGGACCGGCCACTTATCTGAGCTGGTCACGTCGGATTGAGACCGCTATAGTAGAGAAGTGACTAGAAAGATATCTGACTGAGAACGAATCTAAAAATGACAGTGCTGATAGGAATAAGTGGATGACCACTCAAGCCTTAGTTTACACATGGTTGCTCAACTCAATGGTTCTGTCAATCGCGTCCTTAGTTGTTGACATTCGAAAGATGAAGGACATTTAGGCAAAGTTGGAGAAAATTTATGTTGGTGCTGAGAATTAATGAGGGTATTCCGGATTCAACGCGAGATAGAAGTTGTGGTACACGATAAGAAAACAATTCGGGAATACTCCATAAAGTTGGAGAGGATGTGGGTGGATCTTGATTACTTCTCACCGATTTCGAGTTGTAGCAACCCATAATGCAAGAAAGGAGATATCTTTACTCAGATAAGGACTATGCAGTTCTTGACTCATCTGAATTCGGTCTTTGATCAGAAAAGATCTATCCTCTTAGCATAAGAGGCTAATCCTACACTAAATGAGGTCATTGTTGCGATGATACATGAAAAGAGTTGGATGAAGATACACTCTGAGCAGAGTGATTTTTTGGGTGCATAATTAGCATTGGCTACTTGTAAGTGCTACAACTATGGTGAAGTTGGCCATATGAGCAGAGTCTGTCCTAAGACAACAAATGAGAGAGAGGTGGGCGTGGACAAGGTGGAGATTGAAGTTGTGGTTGTGGTGGTCGGAAATGTAGAAAAGTGGACTAGGCAAATCTGCTGATAGCGGATGATGAGGCAAAGACGGTTGATTTTTACTAGTGAGAATAATGAGTGTCTGGAGCTGTTGAAGAGAAAGTAGAAAGCGGCGGGAGATAGAGCTGAGGATCCTTCAAATCCATCGACATCAAAGTGTAACATTGCCACTTATGCTCATTTCAGCAAAGTCACTGGTGACATACTTGCTCTTGCCTCTATTTTCACAACAGGATCATTAGAATAAATCATAGATTCTGGTGCTTCTCGTCACATGATAGGTATTGCTAGAGATTTCTTTTCATATACTCATCTAGCAGTACCAGAGAGTATACAGACTACTGATGGTGCAGCGCAGCCTGTAGTCGGTAAGGGTACAGTAAAATGTGCCAATCATATGACTTTGTCTATTGTTTTTGCTTCTTTTCCAGTAAACCTCTTATCCACTAGCATCATTATTCTCAAGCTAAAATGCATTATTATTTTATCCCTCGGGTGATCTTTCAAGAGAAAGGGACATGCCGAACACTTAGGATTGGAATGTGGCATGGTGGACTCAGGTACTTGGACCGAGAGGGGATGAACTCGGCTCTGACATCAAAGGTATAAAATGCTGCAGTAGGATAATCTGGGAGGAATGTCGAGGATTTGTTACTACTAAATCACAGTATGAAACATCATAGTCTTAGTTTATTGAGTCGGTTGTATCCATCTATGTATGAAAAGGCAAAAGAGGAGAAACTTATGTCAGCTCTGAGAAGAGGAGCTCTAGTGTATTTAATTTGATACATTCTGATATATGGGGGCCACGTCCTACTAGTTCTATGAATAGTTATCATCAATTTTTTATGTTAGTTGATTACTTTTCTCGCTTTACGTTGATATTCTTGATGAATTATAAATATTTTCACACGACAATTTGAACCAAATACAAGGCATCAGTGAAGACACTGAGATCTTTAAAGACTACCTGTCAGCCGAGGGGATAAACACCAAACCACATGCCCATACACAACAACAGAATAGAGTAGTAGAGAGAAAGGATCGACATCTTCTAGAGGTAGGCCGAAGCATAATAATGACAATGACTATCACACATCACTTATGTGGGCAAGCAGTGTTGACAGTCGCTCAATTGATTAATAGGATACTCTCAAGAATACTATAGTGGAAGTCTCCTTATCAGATGTTGAAAGAAGTAAATGGCGAAATCCTTTATTTGAAGCTATTTGGATGTGTATGTTTTGTGAAAGACAACAGACTATCTGAAGAAAAGTTGGAACCCAGAGCTGTGAAATGTGTGTTTGTGGGTTATTCTGCTACTCAGAAGGGTTATGTCTGTTGGAGCCCGATTGAGAAGAGGCTCTTGTGGGTATGGATGTGTCATTCAGAGAGTTTGAACCATGCTACACTCTAAAGATGAATTTACCATTTGATGACTCAACAAACACTAGAGATATAAGGCAAATGAGAGTGAGTAGTAGTAGTGATGGAGTGGTGCAAGTGGGAGCAATGTCATGTCATGTGATGTGGGATGAATCATCTAAGGAGATGGAAATTGAGGAAATTGACTCCAGAGGTGGAGGGATTCATGCTGAAGGTGAGCTAAGGGTGTAACACGAAGGAAGAAACAACTAAGGGAATAAAGTCTGCAATGCCGACAAGTTTCTTGTCTCGGTCTTCCCCAAATCTTGAGACACCTGCACCATCTACCTTTGATTCAAAGATCCAGTGCTATTATTCCTCTTCCGTCCACTCTTACCCCCCAATGTTAAGGATAACCTCCCGAAACAATGAAGGACATCCTCTTGATCGTTTTGGGTTGAAACACGATACTGCAAACTTTATTTTTTAGTCTAACATCTCACATTTTCATGAAACATTCATTGCATCATTGGATTCTATTTCTATACCCAAGTGTTGGCAAGATGTCAAAGAAGATCTCAAGTGGAAAATGATGATGCATGAAGAGCTTAGAGCTCTTGATAAAAATCGAGCATGTGAGATTGAACTACCAGTAGGAAAGAAGGCAACTGGATGCAAGTGGATTTTCATAGCAAAACAAACTCCAGAAGGGAAGGTAGAGAGATACAATGCACGACTAGTGACAAAAGGGTACAGTCAGACGTATGACATTGACTACGATGAAACTTTCGCACCAATAACACAGGTGAGAACGGTAAGGACATTGGCTTCTCTGGCTGTGAATGGTGGATGGAGACTCCACTAATGGGGATGTACTGAAGTAGGAATATATGGAGATACCACCAGAATTCAATCCATCTCAGACAATGGGCAAGGTGTGTAGGCTCAGGAAGTTACTATATGGCTTAAAGCGGTCTCCTTAAGCCTGATTTGATAAGTTTAGAATGTCCATGGTTGGCATGACATATCAACAGATCAATGCATACTACATAGTGTTCTTTCGACAACATGAGGGTCATAATACCATACTTGTTGTGTATGTGGATGACATAGTTATCACTAGTGATGATGAGGCAGAGATTGTTCAATTGACGAGAAGATTGGGGAAGTAATTTGAAGTAACAGATCTAGGAAAGCTCGGATATTTTCTTGGAATTGAAGTTGCCCATGGACCCCAGGAGATGGTCATATCACAGAGAAAATATGTATTGGATCTCCTCACGGAGTACAAGTCTACAGTCTCTCTAATTGGTCAGAAGGTCAAACTCAGTACAGAGGCAGGGGCCGCCTGATCTATCTATGTCACTCTCAACCCAATATTTCATTTATAGTGAGTGTGGTGAGCCGCTACATGCACGATCCAAGGAAAGGTCATATGAATGCATTGTATCAGATTTCGAGGTATTTGAAGAGTGCACCAGAGAAATGATTGATATTCAAGGAGAACAGACATGTAGAGTCCTTTAATGATTTTGACTGGGTAAGTCATGCTGATGATAGACGATCCGCAACAAGATATTGCATATTTGTAGGTGGTAACTTGTTCTCATGGAAGAGCAAGAAACAACCAGTTGTAGGAATATCAACAACAGAGACAAAATACAAGTTCATGGCATTAAGAGTTACAGAGATGATGTGACAGAAAACCTTATTGGTTGAACTCAAAGTGAATCAGAGAACTCAAATGAAGTTGTGTTGTGACAATAAGTCAACAATCAACATTGTTAACAACCCGGTGCAACGCGATAGAATCAAACATGTGGAGATAGATAAAAGGTAAATAATGAATGTTGAAACTAAGTCAAGTAGCCACTGGAGAGCAGGTGACCAATTACCTCACTAAAGGGCTTAGCTCAGTGGAGTTAGCTAGATTATGTGACAAGATGGGCTGAGTGAATATCTTTTGCACGAATTGAGGGGGGTGTTGAGAGTTATGTGTAATAAGAGAGTTTTATCGGGTTTATTTGTAAAACGTTATTATTTAAACACATATGCTAAATGAAATACCTAATGTTTTATTTTTTTACCTTCAATTTCTTTCATACCACATCAAAAATACCGCCATTTTAACTTTTAAAAAGTATAACACATTTTTTCATGCAAAGTAAAGTGGTATGCATTTAAAAATTAAAATTTAGGAGTTACATACGTAAACAGATAGGAGTGGAGTGGCATGTAGGTAAATTTTCCTAAAAGTAATCAACGAACAAAGAATTTCAGAGAAGTATAGTTTACAGAGTGGAAATAAAAACCAAAGCACAATATGAACTGTAGAAATCCACAAGTATTTCCTTTACTTGTGGTTTTTAGTATGATTGCAATAAGAACTAAATAAATACTGAAAGTTCAATTGCAATTGCGAAAAACTAATCAAAAAGGAAAAGTCAAAAAAGAGCCATACAAGTTTCAAGATAAATGGTAATGAAAAACACCTTAGCAATTGAGAATTCAATGCAAAGGAATAAACACAAATCATGGAAACTTAACCATGACAATGATGACTAGAGAGAGAATTGTAATTCAAAACAATCTAAAAAACACCATTCACTCATCCAGATCTTTAAATAATCAGTATTCATAACTATGGCAAGGTTAAAAATTACATTTTTAAGCCAAAAAAAAACTAAAAATCATAACACAACATTCAAGCTAAAATAGAAATGGCAGATGAAACAGTGACCAATAAGAAGTAATTGCAGAATTAATGAACATGAATGTCAGAACATCAAGTGCTTCTTCTACTAAAATTTATACTACTGCTTTCCAAATCTCATTCAATTGCTTCACTTCCCTTTCGCACTCTTATGCTTTCCTTCATAAATGACCATTATAGTAACTACGACAAGAAAAAGAATCTACAATGCGTTGACGCGGCATAAATAAAATTATCACCAAGATCAACATTTTCAGGATATTAAAAAATAGCACGCCCCCACAATCAAAATATCGAATGACAATTTTCAAGAGCTTCTCAAGCATAAAAAATAATACGAGAAGTAGCTTATATCGCTCTCTGTACATGTAATTTCAAAAAGACAGTCCATAAACTAACTAAAATTGGCACGCATCTACAAAATAAAATTTTAGATTCTAAACACCACCATAACTCATTTAACCTAACAAAATCCACTCAATCGCTGTCTCCTACTTGCTCTTCGTATTCTGGACGTGGCACAGGGACTTCAACTCAATCGGTTAATTAGGCGAACCAATATATTGACAACTAAAAGAAACTTAAGGAGCAGAAAGAAAGTAGCTACAGATCCTCATTGATTTCTTCAAAGAAAAATAAGGAAACATTTCTACTCAGGAACAGAAAATTCGAGCTGCAAATAACCAGTACATTCTCCAAAATACAACAAGAGAAACAAACGCCTACATGAGAAACCAACCCTTCCCCTAACCAACGCCAATCCTCAAATACACATGGAAGAAAAGGGGAAAGAAACGGAGCTGATCGATCGAGTACAGTAAACCACTTACAGCGTGTTGGCGTGCTGGATGTCAGCTTCGAGAACTTTGAGTGAGTCCTTGAACGATTTCCGCATGTAAACCATGAACATCTCCACCACAAATCATCCAGAAAAAAAGGTGAGATTAAAACCCAAAACCCTTTCTCCCCGAACCCTTACCCCCCGCCTCTGAAAACCCTAGCTTTACCCTTCCACTCCCACTGTCATCGGTCTCTCTCAGTACTCTCTTTAGCTCTTTGGAGCGAACGAGCGCATCGGTTTCGTGAAATGCCACGTGGCGGTGACAAGTCCTTCGCGTCAAAATTCAGATGATAAGCTGACAACTTTCACTCTCAATTTGACACACAAATCAACCCGAGCCACCCGGACGAATATCTCAGCGGTGCCGATGGGGTGAAACGAGTCCTTATCCGCATGGGAGCGCTTGCCTTATCCGTTAGGTACAAGGATTAACAAGCGGGGTCCACCACAAAGATTTTTTTCACTTGAGATGACGAAAATGCACTCATTAATAGGTAATGTACTTGGAGCATTATAGTCATTTCAAGTATAATATGTTGGGTCATCAGCATTAATTCTTACTGTCCGCATAATCATTCGGCCAACGTGCGTCGCATATAAAGATTTGAAGGACCCATGAATGTCTTTGATTGTTTGTGTGCATTTAGGGAATTTTTATTCGGTACGTGCACCGCATGAAG